ACCTTGCAGTGAAGGAGTATTTGATAACAATGTAACAATGTTACATGATTGAAAAATAAAAATAAGAAAACCAACACAAATACAAAAGGGAGTGCTTTTTTATGCATCTTATTTTAACATTAAGCCCTACTTTGGCAAACTTGAATGTCACCAATAAACAGGCACTGACATAAGAACTTGAGTAAACGTTGAGGTTTTAAACTTTCCCCCATAAACTCTTATTAAATGTTTACCCTGGTCAAAATACATTCATGCTAAACAGAAAGACCAGATTAGTCAAATGAATAGACTCTTAAAATAGGACCTGTGTCAGGAACAGGAACAACAATTAACACATTGGAGTAAAATATTCTATAAAAATAAAACATCCTTCAATAGTTATTCTGCCCTTTGGAATCACTCTATTCCAAATCAACATGTTGATAGTACAGATTTGAACAACAATCATGTCATGCAGTGCAAGGATTTTCAAATGAAGGCAAAACATAATATGCAAATCCCTAACAATGAACCATAAATGCATATTTACTTAGCTCAGCTTATGTTTTTGCATAGAGCTATCTAGTAGCTGTTGTGTGCCTATTGAACACAATCATTGGCTCCTGTGTATCAGAAAATGTATCTTCTTTGATATCATAACTTCTACTGTGACTATGAGTAAAGATGTATTATCAAATGTGGAATGTTGTGTGAGTTTGTGAGGTATTCAATCAGCACAAACTGGAAACTATTACATTCTTTCAGTAGGCAACTGCACCACACTGTAAAAAATGGCTGTGAAATCCACAGTTATTTACAGTGTTTGTGCACAGTAAATTACTGTATACCATTTTAGAGTATAATACCGTGTTTCCAACCAAAAATTACAGCAACTCTGGAGTTACTGAAAAATATTCGATGCACACACACACTAAGACTGAATATCATGTTCTATTTGCAATTAAAGATTGATAATTGTGTGTATTGGGTTATTGAGAAGAGACTAGAGAGTGCTGGACATTTTTTTGGGCGGAGAGGGCCTTTTATCAGTTATTAAAGTATTAAAGTTGAAAAGCAATGATTAAAAGTTCACCCATTCCGGGCTTTGAACCAGCTGCGCTGGAGGACATTGCCGCATTCGGGCCGCCGGCTCTATCCACTGGGCTATCTATTCCTCAAACCACTGAACTGTTTTTATATTACTCATAATTGTCTTTTTGTTCACAACTTCTCCACATTTTGAAGTGTTTCCCGAGCCAGAACGACCTATCTTTCTTCCTGGCTTGCTCTATAATGATCCAACAGCAACAACGCAAACTACGACAACAACCCACACATTGCGCATTGTTTAGAGCGGTTATAAAGTGTTGAAGCGCTCAAATTCGAAACTGTTTCAACCTGTCACCTGTCAGAATAGAGATGAGGCAGTGCATTGAATCGCGTGATTGGACCGCGAACCAGTCAAGTGATTTGAAGCAGTTGCTGCTTCTGACGTCATATGTCACATGATTTGAAGCAAGCTTTGAATCACTGCTTCCATGGAATAGGAAGTCCAGGGTTGAAGCTCCGTTCGAAGCTTCAGTGTCAAACTGCCATCACTAGCTAACTGTACTCGGCAAGCTTATCAAAATGTCTTCCACGTGTAAGGTTTGTAAGTTCAGTACAGGGTCCATTCCTGCATGCATTTGGTTGTTTGTATTCCAAGTGTTTTAAAGTATTGTGTATTATCTAAGAATAGTGATAATGTATTTGCCAAACAGTGCCTTTTGTTGTGTCTCGTCAAATGTGTTAGTTATGTTTATGTATTATGTCTGTCATTTCATGTTTAGTCAGGTTTTCATGTTTATTCACGTCATGTCAGGTCTGTCTATTTATGTCATTCATCTCTAGTTAAGTCCCCGTGTTTCATGTCGTGTCTCGTTTTCCCATTTCCTGTTTTATTTTGTACTTACCTCTTGTCTCTCATTTCAGGCCCTGTTACTTCCTCCCTTTGTGTGTTTTCCCGCCATCGTCAGCGTCTGCGTCTGCCCCGCCCCTGATTGTTTCCACCTGTTCCCACTCACCTCATGTTTAAATAGTCCTGTCTCCCCCCTGTCCTGTGTCCTTGTGTTTGTTCCCACGTGTGGTCGTGCCAGGCCTCAGCAAAGAGAGGATCGTTTCCAGTTTTGTTAGTTTAAGTTTATCTTAAGTTCTCTTTTTGTTATGCTTAGTTTTTTTCCTCCTTGTGAGTGTTATTTTTGTTATTCCAGTACTTACTCTGTTAAGAGGGATTTTCTGTTCAATGACATTAAAAAGACAATTTTGTTACATTCAAGACTGTGTCTCTGGGTCGTGCATTTGGGTTCTCCAGTTTGTGTCGAGGTCGTGACACCTTTTCAACTACAGCACGTCTCTGAAATGGCTTGGCAGAAGAAATGGCTTCATATTGTTTGTGTTGATTTGTTATCGCCACTGTTTTAAAAATGCAATCTCCATGTTTTTGGATATTAATATCAATTGTTTTATGGATGAAAATATGTATCATTTAGCACAAGAAACGACATGGTCTTGATACCGTTCAACAATTAAGAATACATTGTTAAAATGTATTGTTTGCTGTCTCCCTGCAGTTATTGGTGAGCTTTAAAATTGTGTCAAGAATTTCTGGTAATATGTAAATTACCAGCATGACATGAATAAATTGTTTTACAGTTACAATACTGATACTGTAACTTAAAATGATAGCATTAAAGTTTCTATTTTACAGTTGAAACTCTATTACCGTAAACAAAAATACAGTACTTTTTAAATGGCAGTGTTTTATTTTATAGTTAAAATACTATTACCGTAAACAAAAATACAATGCTTGGAAATTACTGTGTTTTATTTTACAGCTATAACACTCCTGCTGTTACAAAAAATAAAGTAATTAAATATTACTGTGTTGCATTTTACAGTTAAAACACTATTACCGTAAACATAAATACAGCAGTACTTGGAAGTTACTGTGTTTCATTTTACAGCTATAATACTACTATTGTAATACCAAATAAAGTAAATGCTATTTACTGTGTTTCATTTTACAGTTAAAACACTATTACCGTAAACATAAATACAGTACTTGGAAGTTACTGTGTTTCATTTTACAGCTACTACTGTAATACAAAATAAAGTAAATGCTATTAACTGTGTTTCATTTTACAGTTAAAACACTATTACCGTAAACACAAATACAGTACTTGGAAGTTACTGTGTTTCATTTTACACTGTTACTGTAAATAAAAACTTGTAAATACTGTGATTACCTTTACAGTAAGTAACTGGCAACAATTGACAAGTTACTTACTGTAATTCAATTCACAGTAAGTAACTGGCAACAATTGACAAGTTACTTACTGTAATTCAATTCACAGTAAGTAACTGGCAACAATTGACAAGTTACTTACTGTAATTCAATTCACAGTAAGTAACTGGCAACAATTGACAAGTTACTTACTGTAATTCAATTCACAGTAAGTAACTGGCAACAATTGACAAGTTACTTACTGTAATTCATTTTACAGTATTTAACTGGCAACAATTGACAAGTAACTTGTCAATTGTTGCCAGTTAAATACTGTGAATTTCACGTTTCTTACAGTGCAGATAATCAAGAGTTGCAGTTCATTTATGCTAAAGGGCATCACACAAACCACCACAACCGCCCCCCCCCCCCAACCCACCCACTACCACATTATCCATGCAGTTTCAAGTATCAATATAAGACATTTGTAATACCAATTCCTAAGAAAATAGTACTGTAATTCAATTCACAGTAAGTAACTGGCAACAATTGACAAGTTACTTACTGTAATTCAATTCACAGTAAGTAACTGGCAACAATTGACAAGTTACTTACTGTAATTCAATTCACAGTAAGTAACTGGCAACAATTGACAAGTTACTTACTGTAATTCAATTCACAGTAAGTAACTGGCAACAATTGACAAGTTACTTACTGTAATTCATTTTACAGTATTTAACTGGCAACAATTGACAAGTAACTTGTCAATTGTTGCCAGTTAAATACTGTGAATTTCACGTTTCTTACAGTGCAGATAATCAAGAGTTGCAGTTCATTTATGCTAAAGGACCATCACACAAACCACCACAACCGCCCCCCCCCCCAACCCACCCACTACCACATTATCCATGCAGTTTCAAGTATCAATATAAGACATTTGTAATACCAATTCCTAAGAAAATAGTATGCTTAAGTACTGCCTTCAGTACTTTAAACAGCATTTCAATACCAAATCACTTGAGTCTATAGTGAAAACGTGAAAATGTCCCACATTTATGTTGTTGAGATCTTCATATTAGGTTGAATAATTAAAACGAAGGTTAGTTATAATCAAATATAATCAATTATATTCTTGTATAACCCACAATGAAAATGCTTCATATTTTATGATTTTCTATATTTACAGTATAAACAAAACACAAGTGGTTTGTTAAATTGAGTGTGTAAGGCCTATAATGGTTTATGGGTGTCACTGATAAGAGGAGAGACAGTTTCTTCCCTCTTCCCTCACAGGCAGTACCACAGGGAGGGGGGCTCCTGAAAAATAACTGAGGCCCCAAAAAGGTGGTTGTCATAGCCGAGAATAATATTTTGCAAGTCTTGCAGAGTAGGGGTCATGTCCTTGTTACACAAACATGGGAAGGTGTGTCTTATGCCATATTCATAGAATATGTCTGGTCATGTCCAGTTCTGTACATCAGAGGCCATGCCCAGTTTCCACAAATATGGGTATGGAGGAGGTGTCTTTAGGTTTTTCTATCCTGTTTTCGAGCATAAAGACACTGGCGGATGGGGAGGAACTTTCTTTTTGGAGAGAGAGAGAGAGAGAGGGGGGGGATCCCCTGGTATACTCTCTCTCGGTAACGCTCTCTCCCTGAGAGCTGGGTTTTTGCTCTCGGTAAGGTTTTCTCAAACTTGGTAACTATTGCTTGAATCTCTGTGTATTGAATGCTGAGTGAATGGATGGATGAAAGTTTTAAAACTTAGGATTTCTAACTGATCATTCTGAGGAGCAAAACCTCTTAAATGTGTCAGGCTATAGGCTGTGAATGTTAGAACCTTCGATCCACGAGGAGATCCCTCTGGGTTCTGTCGGAATTCAAACTGATCATTCTGAGGAGCAAACCTCTTAAATGTGTCAGGCTATAGGCTGTGAATGTTTGAACCTTTGATCCACGAGGAGATCCCTCTGGGTTATGTCGGAATTTCCAACTTATCATTTAAAGGGGATTTCTAACTGATCATTCTGAGGAGCAAAAACCTCTTAAATGTGTCAGGCTATAGGCTGTGAATGTTAGAACCTTCGATCCACGAGGAGATCCCTCTGGGTTCTGTCGGAATTCAAACTGATCATTCTGAGGAGCAAACCTCTTAAATGTGTCAGGCTATAGGCTGTGAATGTTAGAACCTTTGATCCACGAGGAGATCCCTCTGGGTTATGTCGGAATTCAATCTGAACATTCTGAGGAACTGACCTCTTACATGTGTCAGGCCATAGTGTGTGGATGTTAACCCCGTCGATCTGTGAGGAAATTCCTTTTGGATTTTGTCGGGAGACTTTAATGTGTGAACTATGAATTAAAGTTTTAGATTAGAAAATAACCCCAGCATGATATGTTTAGTATGATTATAATGTTGTAACGAGAGAAGGTAAAAACCCTGTATAAGTTTGGACCTATTTTTCTTCAAATAAACTGATCCCACCTTTTGGATTGGGACAACTTAAAAGACATCTGCGCTCTCCTCTCCTGCTTCAAAAGTAAGATTGCACACTGCCACACTCACACTTAGGTAGGGCCATTTACTGGTATCAAAATCCTTCGGGATCGCTTAAACAGATTTAGGGGGTCGTCTGAATTTAAACAGCAGTTAATTGAACCTGGTTCTTCGGGGAGTTAATAGAGGTGAGATCTTGCTGACGTTGGTGGATCTGAGCCAAGCAGCAAACTTACATAGACTCAATAACTTCGGTTAGGTTAATTAGTAGGTCTGAGTAATTTGCCGGAATAAATGATCAGTCCTCCCGACTCTTACAATGTAAACAGTCACACCCACAGTCCTTCACTTTTCTCTATCAATTAAAGTTTCAAAGTGCATATATACACGTAGCGCCTAGCTAAGAAAATGTTAAATGCTGAAAGAAAGCCTTTTGTACCTTGAAAATTATCTCCTGTCTTTAAAGTTGACCTATCATGCTATATTTAAATGATATATTGTAGGGCCATACCTATATAAGGTATATTTATACGTTTCTGTTTTCAAAATACCAAACAGATCATGCATTTTAGCCATGCCTCATTTCGCTCTATGTGCTGTTTGCTGTCTACGGGTCTGATTCTGCTGACCACGCCCCCCTGCAGGAGAGGTGAGCCATGCTCTGATCAGCTGCTGGGCTGTTAGAAGAGGAGGAGAAAAAGAGATCTCCGTCCTCCGTGTTTTATTATATAGAGTCGTTATTCATTTGTTTTAAAGCTCAATAAATAACAAAGAAGACCTTTCACCGGCACTTTTCTAATTTTGTCCGGAAGATTTCAACTTTAACGGACATCTTGACCGGCGAAAGAAACGGAAACTGAAACTCTGCCGCACGGTCCCCTCGTTCCTTGGAAGAGGCGGAGAGGTGGGTGGTTGTCATCTGCTGGTGGACTAACCGGAGAGAATTACAGTGCTTGCCTCGACGGGGAGGGATTGCATTGAATTAAAGCAGCGGGAGCAAACGCTGCCTCGGGGAGGGAGAAAAAAAGCCACAGTGGAGAATAAACAGAAGGGTAACCATGGTAACTATGGGCGGGAAGTCTTCTTTGCTGCTTTTGTGGCAGACTACAGCGCCACTTACAGGCCTGGCATATGTACTACAGCGTCTCCAGCGCTTTCGAGCGGCAATGGCCGGCCTTGGCCCAACCCCACATTCCCCTGATAGGTGGAGAGTTGGCCCAATAGCCGTAGCGCCACTTCTGTGACGACATAGAAGTGTTCAAATCTGGATCAGTTTTTTTCAGATCCGTTGCAGCCCCTTTTTTAGAGATTTGGGTATGGAGGAAAATAGAGAGGGTTGTGTTTTCTGACACTTGGTGAGTTCCCTGGAACACCGGGGACACATATTCATGTAACAAAGACGTACAAAAGTGCATTTTGCATGATAGGTCCCCTTTAAATGTTCATTTCAAAACCATAACTGCAGTAGAAATTGTGGGTGCAACCTATAGACGCTATCTCCTTCTTGTCTAGATGATATCCATCACCCATACAGAGCTTGTAAGTACACTATTAAAATCACTGCGGAGGTCTGGATAATTGTGGTACCCTACAGGTAGTTTTAAAAGGCAGCCACATGTGTGAGATTGTGGTCTTCGCTCGAAGTTCGAGGTTTCGATGAATTGTATCTTAATAATTTGTTCCATTAAATTGGAACCAGTGCAGAAGCGGAGGAAAAGCTGAAGGGTGCTCAGATCAACTTCACCTACATATCTCTTCAGGTAGCGGACAACTGCAGTCTGGGGTGGAGTCATCTCATCTGGGAACTGAAGGAGCTCCTTCACTGCTTTTCCAGTTGGTGTTTTCTGCTGTATAACATGATTCAGGGCATCTTGTGGCAACACACTTGCTAAGTGCACCACAATGGGACGCCAACACTTGATTACATACATTGGTGCCTGCATGAGAGCCTTGTGTCCCATCTGTGAAAGCAGTGGGATCAGATTCCTTTGGTAGGAACCTGCTGGCACTCATGTGCTTCAAGGGCATCAAACAGTGCATCTGTCTCAACAGAGTTGAAGTCTTCCAAAGCCTTAACAAGGACCTCTCTCTCCTGTTCAGAGACGTACTGCAAAACGGTGTCCTTTAAGCTACTGGTGGATGTGGCGTACAGTGCCTCTTCAAGGAATGGTGCTGCCAGTTTCACTGGGAAATAGCGAGCAATCCTCCACTCTACTACTAAGATTCTGGCAATTGCCTGCCACTCTTCAGACTGATAATCATGCCTAATAAAGGGAACTTTTACATTCCCTCCCAAGGTGCATCTTTCATAAAAGTCTGTCCAAAATTCAGTTAAGCAGTCCCGGGTCACACCACTTCCCTCTCCTTCTTCAAGTTTACCATTGGGTAGACGCATCTTTATAAACACCTCAGTGTTTAAAATGTCTGGGTTTGTGAAGGCTTTGATAAGGTCAGTGAGACAATGCCCCCTCCTGATAATCAGTGTAACAGGAGCAGGTTCATCCATTGTCTGGTCATTCCATGGCTCTGTAACAAGACCAGGTTGCGGTTCGCCCAATCCATGTGGTCATGTGCATCATTTGCCATAGCCCCAATAATAATCTCAAGATCGATCTCTTGATGAACCATGTCATCGATCCCCTGTACATCAGTTGAATAATGTGGCTCACTTCCAGTAAGATCTACAACTGGGGTTGAGGTTAACTGCATCTCTGCCTCCTCTTCATCTGAGGACAGCTCCACTTTTCTTATTTTGGTACGAAGGTACAATCTAAGGATTTTTACTCTGCTTTCTTCATACAAGTTATCCACAGTGCTAGAACTGCTGACCTGTACCTGAGAAGATTCAATTTCAGTTGAATAATATGAGAGCTTTCTCTTTCCTTTTGAAAAACCATCTGGGAAAAACAAGTTTTCAGCCATTTCTTTGATTTCCACTACTTTTTTGTCCTTGCTGATGGTCAGGTGTCTTGTTCCTCCACCATTAGGTGCGTTCACACCGGAGTACTTTGGTGTACTTTTCCCACAATAGTTCATCAGAACTACGATATATTTGCGTTCACACCAAAAAGCCCCAGGAACTAAAGTAGCTCAAATGAGTTCGTCCGACCTGCTTTTCAGTCCCTGCTAGAGAGCAGGGACTGTCGTGGGAGAAAATAGTTCGTACGTCTGATTGGCTGTGCGGAATGCAAACCATGCCCGTTTGACTCTGAATTTTTTTTTGGAAGCGGCCATTGTATTTGCTCGCTTACCCGAAGAGATTACTTTTGTGAAAGCAGTTATTATAGCAACACTAAATAAATCATCGGAGCGGTGGAATTGATGAGGATGTCTCGGCGCTTCTGGCGATTTACTCGGAGGACGCGAAGTGCGGCATTCAGAAGCTTCTACTGAATGCAGTTTCCGTGGATCAGCAAAGTTAGCAGACCTGGCAAAGTCATGTCGTGACGACTACGAAGGTAAAATAAAATACATGCACTGCACTGTTTTAATCTGCACAATACTGGTCTTAGATGTACTTTTATTTGCTCAGTAGATCGAGCTAGCCCTGCTAGAACTTGCTAACGTTAGGTCCAAGCTGGCTAACAACATCTAGCTAGCTAGCTATTCTCAGCCGTGCCCGCTATGAACACGTTTTGACTTGTGAATAAGTGTGCAATGTTCTGTAATTTGCTTCACTAACTCATGGCACTAATCGTGTGTTTCAGACGAGGTGTTTCTCTCAGGATTAGAAACTAGTTTTCCCCTCCGGGATAAAACGATAATATAACGTTAGCAATTAGCATGTGTACTTACATGCTAGCTGGACATAATGCTACCTCTGTATTCTTACCTCTAACAATACATTGTAGTTGCTATAATTTCAAGTAATTTGCAACATTCATTCTACATGTTAATGGTAAAAGCTTAAACAGTTGATTACCTGCATGCCACAAAGACTGATGTTCTAATATTTTTGCACATTTAAGTAGAAATGTAATTGAAATTCTATTTACTGCCTAAACATTGTTCCTTGTCATAGTATTATCCTAAATAGTTTGACCTTGTTTCCTCAGAAGGCTTCTCAGACTACATGGAGGATCCCTCAGAGAAACACAGTTTCCACGTTCAGTTCCCCCCCGCTGAGAGTAGGCAGCTCCACACCCTGTGCCCGGTCAGCGGACACCATCAGGACTACTATCTGATCACAGAGGATCCCATCCTGACCGCTGCTGCCATACTGCAGCAAACAGGAGGGAACGGAGGTGAAAACACACTTTATACATTTAGATATGTGGAGCACAAAGAAAAGCATTGCTAAAAAACATTTAGCAGCTAAACTGTGGATAACAAGTAAACCACATTGGTTTGTTATTCAATATTCAAAAGCTTTTTGAATCATTACATGTCACTTGTTAGACGCTTTTATCCAAAGCTTACATACTCAATACTGTGGGCAATCCCCACAGGAGCACTTTGGGGTGAAGTGTCTCAGGGACACAACGACATGCTGACTGCAGTGGGGTTTGAACCTGTGCTCCCCTGATCCGAACACCAATGCACTTATCCACTGCGCCACACGCCTCCCTATCATGTCCTGAGAGCCCTCCATCCCCCAATTGCTAGTGCCTTCACCATTTAAAATGTTAATAGTCAAATCAAAGGTGTTCCCCGTGTTCCTCCTGTTGTGTGCCTGCAGAGACAGACTCAGAGGTGGAGATCGCCCACAGTGATGACTCTGACGTGGGGGGGCTCTCTGTTATGGGCTGCTCCCCTTCCGGTATTTGGACAATGTTGTCTCGTTGTTGTGATTAAACTGATCTTGTATCTTGCATATTTCACCTTAGGAAAGTGGGTACGCGATGACAGCTTCCTTGACACCATCATGGTGATGGACC